AGCAAAATCGTTGGACAGCATGGTCAAAATATCGCTACAGATGAGTACCGCACTTAGCAAATAAGCCTATATGCAAAACTTAGATCAAGGGCCGTTTACCAAGGTGGTTAAGATCATTTGGCCCTACACAAGTTATCTCGACAATAATGGACAAGTGGATTAAGCTTTGCAGCTGAATCGCATGGACTAGAACAGTTTACTGGTCAGATTTCATCGCCCTTTACTCGTTTTCATCACACTTTCCTACTATTTAGTGGGAGTGGAAATTATAAGCTGGTAGTGAGGGTTATTGCACTATTAAATTCATTGATTTCAGCGAAGCTTTTTGGCAGGTAATATCCAGTTGTCCAACCCTCTCCTTCTGAATGATAGCTTAGTATTCTAAAAAAAACTTTGGGCTTCCTGATATCCATTCACAGCTTTTACAGTATTGTTTAGCAAAGGTCAGTACGCGATCTGATCTTGTTTAATGCACGTATCAACAGGATCCCATTGAGCCATTAACTCACCATTCCATCCATTTGCCACTGACTGCAAGGTACGGCGGCCAATTGAAACTTTATGGCCACCGGTTGGCTACTGGTTGGTCTCGCTACCATTTTAGAGCGAGGTGGACTACCTTGACCTTACAATGAACCAGTGCAAGGACCAAAACCAACAGACGGTCAAGTACAGAGCCCCATCTTTGAGAAGGCACCGCGGAAGGGCAGCAATAAGGATATTTAATAAAAAACGTCCAGCGTGCTTTTCAAACTGGGACCGAAGTGAACACACAAGATGTCCGTGACTGATGTAAACTGATGTCAAGTTTTGAATCTGTGTAAAGATCATCAACTGAATCATCGGAATCGTTACGAAAGAGTTGTTCTTATGTCATCTGGATAACGGAATTTAGGTCCTGTGTGGGGAAAACACTCTCATTCCAGTGGAGTAGACCGACTAAAGAGAAATCTAGATTTGTTCATACCTAGGACATTTTTGGAGTTCTCCTGATTTATACATCTGAGACATCAGTTATAATGTTTCACCAAAAAACAGGTTTCTTTTAATCAGTTATGGAACAAATGGCTCCGCAATATGTTAGGCAAGTTTAACTGAGTTTCAGCTGTCCTCTGCAACACCACCTAGATGGAGGTTCAGCCGAATTCGAGATCCTTCACTCTTATGATA